TAGCAGGTTCTTGCATAAAATAGTCAAGATTGTTACTTATTTAAAATTTAAATTTTAGGGCTGGATAATGTTTATTTTTGTGATACTTTTAGAATTTCCTTAAATTTTGCGCGACCTAGAGAGGGCGCCATAAATCCACCCATTTGTAAATTCCATTGTTGCAATAAACAACTGTAATAATTTATCCCGTTATCGTACATTCATACATACATACAGAGTCAAGTCTCGTTGAACACATTTATTTAGTATTTAAACAAGTAAAGGACAGTGAATCTAATCAAGAATTAAACTGTCTATGTGTTTGCCTCATTTCCGTGTGCCTTTGAACACATCTGGGGGATAGCTTTTTTTCCGCCATTTCTCGTAATAAACCTTGATACATATGAGCACAAATCAATAATATAATCTGTATATAACAACACAAACTGTTTACATGTTTATTTACACTTTTTGACATGCGCAAACTGAACTTCAGGACAAATCCGGTTTCCGGGACAAATCCAGCAGCCACACTCCTCGTGATTGTTGCCGGTCCCAGCAGGCCAAGCGTGTTGCAATTTGATAACATAATGACCTATCGCAATATGCCGGTATAACAAAAATCTCTATCGTTGGCCAAATTTGAAAAAGCTGATCTTAAAACCAGGAGGCCAAAAAAACATGCATTTGAAAACTAGTGATCGCTTAGAAAGTTAGGTCCACACCTGACACCATCTAAATTCTTAATGTTTAATATTTGACTTGTATTTGGGTAGTTTTTGTTTTTTCTCTCTCTTATTTTATAACTTCTGTCAATGTAAAACACTTTGGGCAGCTGGTGTTGTTGTACATTTTTTGTAACAGTCTTCGTGAAAATGAGAGACAGGCTTTGACAATGTTCAAATTCAGTTTGAAAACGGTTCTGTTTAGCTGTGCATACAACTGAAGGATTGTCTACTGTGATTATTTATGATTTGAATGCCTTGTGTGATTTTATGGTTTCTTTGCTTGTTTTGTTAAGCACTTTGAGTTACCTTTATTGTGTATGAATTGTGCTATACAGATTGCCTTGCCTAAAAGTGCAACATGAGTAAAGTTAACATTGCCATAATCATTAACATTGCTGATTGTTTCAAATAATATGGAAATTCACAATTGAATAATGGCGAGTTTTAGGTGAATATTTAAACTCAAAATATAGCTATGACTAACATCTATAACAGCAGATAAGAACTCAATCTGTCATCTTTGAAGCGATAAACACTTCAAGCTTCAAACATCCAGACGTTTTAGAACATATGTTTTCTGCTGCTTTTATTGACAACAAACAAATGATTTCGACGTTAGACCAGTGAGGCTGTTCTCTTCCACAGACGGATGCGTGTTCTCTTTCTCACCGTTTCTAATTGAATCCAGTGTGGAGCAGATTTTCAACAACAAAAGGCTGTTACGCTTCAAGCAGAGGCAACATATGTGAAGTCAAAACTGCTCCAATCTGTCTGTGTGTAATGTTAAAGCTGGGGTACCTAACTTTTATGTCCTAACAGAAAGAGAAGTAACATTTCAGGAACAGAACAAAGGCTGTATATTAGGAGCGGACTGCCTTAATGCGAAAGAAGCCGATTAGAGCTAGCTCGAACAGGCTATGTAGCTACGGTAGTTACTCGCTTGCTCTGGGACAGAAGGCTACTGATTGGTCCGTGATTTGGGTTGACATCTGGATTTTCAAATACAATATTACAAGATAAACACCAGGATCGAAGAGAGGGCGAAACCATATTTTTTACACAAATAGGTACTGAGATAGAGGAGTTTACTTTTCAGTGTCCAATGGAGCCAGAGCAAAACTTTGTTCATGAGTATTTCCCCATTGGGCTTCATTGGGGTCAGCATTGCACATCTATATGCAGTGAATGATCTTGCTTATTAGAAAACATGTAAATGTTTGCTTACTTATAAGAAACATCCCTGGGAGTCACTCTCGGACTCATTGGGCTCTCTTTTTCACGTTTCTGTCTAAAAAATCTAAAGATGTGACAGAGACCAAAAATACATGCATGTGAAAACTTAGTGATAGAAGCAAACTGCTATGAGAGTGAGGAACTATGGATTGTATTGCCAAGTTCCAGTTTTTGTGGTTTCAAAGTTATCACTCTAGCTTTAAAGAACTAATGTTATGTTCAGTTCGGTCCATAAACATATAATTGAGTAGGAAAGACAGTATATATACTGTATAAGTCAGAAGTGTTCAATATCTAATTGAAGACGCAGTTATAAAAAGATAATTTGAATGGTGATATCAATAAACTTGTTCGGAGGCAATACTTCTATTTTTAGATGTTCTGTTTGTGATGTCACATTTTAGGATTCATCAGTTTGAAAACAAAGCTTTTGACAGATGGGGCAGAGGGAGGTGTTTGTGCCTCAAGTTCCTGATATTAGCACGGATGGAGCAAGCACGACTCCATAAAGGATTTTGCTTAGGGACAAATGTCATAATACAGTTTAAAAGTCTTAAATGTTTTGATTTGTAATTTGAAAAGACTTGTTAGGGACAGCCAGGGCTTGTGGCGAAATATTTTCTATGCCTTAGAAAGAAACAGGCTTTTGAAAGTGAGTCATGATTGCACGTCCGACCCTGAACTGAACAAAAGGACTTTTATGATGGTGAAATGAAAAAGACTTCCAGGTCCTGAGGTTTTTGAATCAATTGTTACTAATGTTATTGTAAAAATTGGAAAGAGATCATTGTGAGAAATGCGTAAAGCTGAGCTTTTTCAAACCACAAAAAACATTAAAATAACTTGTTTTTAACATAAATGCTTTCTACTACACTTTTCCCCATGCTCACTACAACTTAAAGCTGGGGTGCCTAACTTTCAAAACTACACTAAATGGAGCTTTGTACAGTAATACAGTGCCTTGCGAAAGTATTTGGCCCCCTTGAACCTTTCAACATTTTGCCACATTTCAGGCTTCAAACATAAAGATACAAAAATGAAATTTTTTGTCAAGAATCAACAACAAGTGGGACATAATCGTGAAGTGGAACGAAATTTATTGGATAATTTAAACTTTTTTAACAAATAAAAAACTGAAAATTGGGGTGTGCAATATTATTCAGCCCCCTTGCGCTAATACTTTGTAGCGCCACCTTTTGCTGCAATTACAGCTGCAAGTCGCTTGGGGTATGTCGCTATCAGTTTTACACAGCGAGAGACTGGCATTTTTTCCCATTCTTCCTTGCAAAACAGCTCGAGCTCAGTGAGGTTGGATGGAGAGCGTTTGTGAACAGCAGTCTTCAGCTCTTTCCACAGATTCTCGATTGGATTCATGTCTGGACTTTGACTTGGCCATTCTAACACCTGGATACGTCTATTTGTGAACCATTCCATTGTAGATTTGGCTTTATGTTTTGGATCATTGTCCTGTTGGAAGATAAATCTCCGTCCCAGTTTCAGGTCTTTTGCAGACTCCAACAGGTTTTCTTCCAGAATGGTCCTGCATTTGGCTCCATCCATCTTCCCATCAATTTTAGCCAACTTCCCTGTCCCTGCTGAAGAAAAGCAGGCCCAAACCATGATGCTGCCACCACCATGTTTGACAGTGGGGATGGTGTGTTCAGGGTGATGAGCTGTGTTGCTTTTACGCCAAACATATCGTTTTGCATTGTGGCCAAAAAGTTCGATTTTGGTTTCATCTGACCAGAGCACCTTCTTCCACATGTTTGGTGTGTCTCCCAGGTTGTGACAAACTTTAAACGAGACTTTTTATGGATATCTTTGAGTAATGGCTTTCTTCTTGCCACTCTTCCATAAAGGCCAGATTTGTGCAGTGCACGACTGATTGTTGTCCTATGGACAGACTCTCCCACCTCAGCTGTAGTTATCTGCAGTTCATCAAGAGTGATCATGGGCCTCTTGGCTACATCTCTGATCAGTCTTCTCCTTGTTTGAGATGAAAGTTTGGAGGGACGGCCGGGTCTTGGTAGATTTGCAGTGGTCTGATACTCCTTCCATTTCAATATAATTGCTTGCACAGTGCTCCTTGAGATGTTTAAAGCTTGGGAAATCTTTTTGTTTCCAAATCCGGCTTTAAACTTCTCCACAACAGTATCTCGGACCTGCCTGGTGTGTTCCTTTGTCTTCATGGTTCTCTCTGCGCTTTAAACAGAACCCTGAGACTATCAAAGAGCAGGTGCATTTATACGGAGACTTGATTACACACAGGTGCATTCTATTTATCATCATCAGTCATTTAGGACAACATTGGATCATTCAAAGATCCTCACTGAACTTCTGGAGTGAGTTTGCTGCACTGAAAGTAAAGGGGCCGAATAATATTGCACACCCCACTTTTCAGTTTTTTATTTGTAAAAAAAGTTTAAATTATCCAATGAATTTCGTTCCACTTCATGATTGTGTCCCACTTGTTGATTCATGACAAAAAATTAAATGTTTATATCTTTATGTTTGAAGCCTGAAATGTGGCTTGGTTCTATCACTAGTTGTGTTTTTAGGCCTCTGTCACAACTTTAGATCAGCTTTTCAGACAGATTTGTGGAAAAGAGACCATCCTCACTCAACCAACCAGTTTTCATCCCAAAAAAAATCATTTTTACGTTGTTTTATGTATATTCAAATTTAGTTCGATACCCTAGCTTTTAGTAAACTCAAAGGTTGGACTGGGTACAGATTAAATAACAAATTTCCCAAACATTTTCATATTGTAAAAAAGCTTTGGCACCCGATGGTATGTTGAAAAAGATCCTCTTGATGTAACAAGATCACTCAGCGTTTTTTATGAAATTATTCCCTTTCATCTGAAGCCTGTGGCTTGTTGGTAATCTCAATAGATTACCAACAGGTCTTGTTATTTCTCAGCTCTTGTTAGCTTACTGCTACTATTAGCTTACAGCTCATGTTTGCTTACAGCTCATGTTAGCTTACAGTTCTTGTTAGCTTACGGCTCTTGTTAGCTTGCGGCTCTTGTTAGCTTACGGTTCTTGTTGGGCGACGCAGTGGCCCAGTGGTTAGCGCTTGTGCTAGAGGACCAGGACCTGCAGCACCTGGACCAGGACCTGGTTTTGATTCCACCTCCAGAAGTCCACCAAAGTATAATATATCTTCTATGATATATCTTCCACCTCGACCCCAGCTCGTGTTTTTTTTTTCAATTCTATTTTTGTTTTTTCGTTTCAGGACTGAAGAAAATCCGAAACCCAGAGAGAACTGTGAGGATTGCAGTGGGCTACACCGGACACACGCCCCCCAAGAGCGACGACTCTGACGCCAACAGTGAGTTTATATCTGACCACACACCATTAACCACGTACCAGAGTGTTCCAAAGTGTTTGGAGCTGTGTGGTTTTTGTTTGTCAATGCTAACTTTGTATGTTCATTTTCAGCTGCTCTTGTGACTTTTTCTTAAATTGACTAAAAACCCTGGTGGTCAGAAAATAATAAAACTGTTGCATGTTGTGGTTTAGGTAAAAAAGGTTATAAATATGACACACAAGTCACACGAGGGACAATACTTTACATAATGACAACGTAATTAGCCGTGTAACAACAAACTTAATTCAGGGTTAGGGTTAGGGTTAGGGTTTTTTCACGTGCGGCTCTTCCCTTTATGAAGTCGCCATTGTAAAAAATATTTTAGAAAATGACTCCACATGGACAATAAACTTGTCATAGTCCATTGTAGTGTTATTCCCTCTGGTCTTAGTTGCATTGCGCTGTGACTTATTTTGAAAGTCGAAAGTTTGTTTTAACAATTTTTATTTTGACACGTTTCTGTCTCCAGCATTGTGAAAAGACATAAACAGGCCCAAATGATACGCCAACCTTTCCCACTGTTGTCCCTGTGTCGACAAGCTATTTAGTCCTGGGTTTTAACAGGGAAAAAAAAAATTGGGGTGACATTTGTTTTTGAATATTTACTGAACGAAACTTTGATGTAAAGGAATCCCTATAGTTGTGTCATCAATACATAACATTAGTAGAGTTTTCCACTGGATGTTGTGATTCGTCCCCGTGATTGTCTTATACAGTACATTGAACACAATTTGTAAGAAATCCCTAAACTAATTTGAAGGCAATGTGTTTGTTTTTAACATATTATACCTAAATTGACTTTGAGACTTTAACCATGTTACAACCTTGTTCCTCAACAGTCACAGACCTGGAGTTGTTTTTAGATCCAACCAGGATAACATCTGGACCTTCTGGCACCAAAAAAAACCTCCAGTCTCGAGTCTTATAATAGTATGATGACCACTAAGACCTCACATTTTGTGCCTTTAAAAAAAAATATTTACCCTAAATTAGTTTTGGCAATGTTTCAGGTGAAATTATATCCGGCCATTTTCAAATTTGGAGAACTAAACACATTTTACCCCTCTCTCTGGTGGTAGAATAAGGAGTTACAGGCCAGGATAGCATCATTTACCCTTGATACTTGTTTAACCATACATTTCACCATAGATATATTTTCACCATTCTAAAACATGAAACAGGTGAAATATCACATACTCATGAAGTTGTTATTGCCTTAAGATAAAATGTAATATTAAAATCACCCTTGCGTAACAAGTTTCAAGACGCAGCATGTTATACAGAAGGTGAGCGGGGCTGTTTTTGATAAGGAACAAATGTAAAATGTTCCAAAATGACGCTGTTGATGATATAATTCCTCTAACGTTTGGTTTGCGTCCTCCTGCGATCCTCCACGTCATAACCGCATTAGTCTCTGTTGCCACACACAGGCCCTGCTATTTTAGATACGGCTGTGTTATTGTTGCGCTAATCTGTACACAGGAATTATGCTTTGTGTGATAATCCCCGTGGGCTTGTTCAAACAGCAGGGAGATGAAGAGAGGCCGCCACAGCACAAACTCACCTATGGAGGCGCTCTTCTTGTTACTGAGTCATAAACGATGGACCATAGTCAGTCTCCAAGTCTCTCATTAAAGCAAAGATATTACGCAACATTGTCCTACTTGAACTTTTATGTAGTTATGTACAGTAGTTCATTATGTAGCATCACAAATATTTCCCACCCAACATAATCCAGAAATAAGTTGTATTGGTATTATGATCCAGAAATAAGTATTATCCAGTAATACTATGATCCTATATAGTGTACAGAAGTATACTTTGTAATGTAACCTTTCCTGACAATGACAAAGGTCAAACGTTTCCCGTCAGCCTTCACCTGGTTTGCACAGACTGTAGCTCTTAAATTGGCTCATTCTTTCTTGCAAATCTTCTGTTCTGTTTAATTTTGGGTCGATCGATGGGCCACACAGACTTTTCAACTCCATCCACAAATTTTCTATTGAGGTCCGGAGCATAGACTTTAAATATTCTGGAGATGGGCGACGAAATGCATCTTACAGAGCCACTCCTTTGTTTCCTGGGAAGTGTCATCCTGGAAGACTCAAGACGTTTCATCTTCAATGCTGTCACTGATGGAAGACTTCCCAAAGTCGCAAGCCCCATTCATCCATAACTATTCTCTCTGCAAAAAAGCATCCCCAAACGATCATGTTTCCACCCCCACGCTTCACAGTGGGCATGGTGTTCTTGGGAGGCAATTCAGTATTCTTCCCTTCCAAAAACACCTCAAGAGTTTTTTTACAACCTAAAAATGTGATATCATCCCTGGCTTCTTCTGGATTGTCCAGATGGTCACAGAGCATTTCAGCCGGGCCTGGACATGGGCTAGCTTCAGCAGGGGCGACTTTAGGGTGCTGCATCCAAAGAACATCATCTACTGTGTAAAAGTAAGGTACACAAAGTAATTAAACTATTTTTGTTGCAATTCATTGAGACATCATGGCATGCATCCCTAATTTCATTTCCATAATTGAATTATTTGCCATTTGCTCTTTCCGACCATTCAAGTTGTGTTTTTGATTGGACTAGAACAACAGGGATGGTCAAAGCAATAGTGTCTTAATGCAATCGAATACAGATGTCTCAAACATACATGATTCAGTCCAAACAAAACTTTAGAGCGTATGAATGAAAACTATAATTAAAAAAGCTCTTACAGATCGATTCCAATAGATCTCTCTGCTCGTTGTGGTGCATAGTGCGTTCCTCTGTCACTCCATCTTGAAAAGTTGTGCGTGGTTAAAATGTTGAAATTTCCCCAGGCGTCTCTTCAAATCGAGTTAAGAGAGTTGCGTTTTGACTCGTTTGTAATTACTCCACTGCCTCTTCACTCACTGGGGCATCCACTCCTGCTGCTGCGGAGTGAATAATAAGGCCACACTCTGATCGGGAGAAATAAGATTGGGTTAGATTAGAAATAAGGAGGAATCAGAAACAAAATTCTACCATTACTACTACTGCTGCAGCTACTACTACTGCTACTACTACCATTGCTACTGCTGCTACTACAGCTGCTCCTGCGGCTGCTGCTACTACTCCTGCTGCTACTGCTGCTGCTATTACTACTACTGCTACTACTACTATTGCTACTGCTGGTACTACTACTACTGCTACTATTTCTACTCCTACTAGTACTACCACTGCTGTCACTGCTACTGTTTCAGTGCTTGTTTAGTCCTGCTTTAGTCCTGGTTCAGGTCTGCTTCGGCCCTGGTTCAGTAATATTTTAGTCCTGCCTCATTTCTGGTTCAGTCTTGGTTCAGTCCCGCTTCAGTCCTTGAAAAGCACAGACCTGATCTGTGTGGGTCACGAATCACATTCTCAGCTGAAGAAGACACTTTTAAAGCCTGATATTTTCCGAGGCCCAGTTCAGTTTGAAAATCATTGGTTTAAAACATCTTTTCACTGAACTTTCAAGGTTAAAAACGGTGAATGGAACGTTCTCTGTGGTGAGAAAGAATCATTTCAGCGCGTTTGTCAATGGGTTAGTGGTGGGCTCAAAGGGAAGGCCTTAGTCATGGCAGAATTGCACAAATGTAATTGGAATAAAAATACCTTTTAGCAAGTCTCGAGGCAAAAGTCAGTGCTTTTCCCCGTTTAAATGGATTTATCTTTGACAGTGCAGCACAACATCTTTGACAGTGTTTTTTTATTAGTCACATTGTTGATACAACTCCTTTTCTTTTTCCTTTTTTAATTGGTTGAGCTTAGCGCACAGCAAGCTACAGTACATATATTTTGAACGTCAAAATGAATGCATGTGTGCACCCATGATGTCGCTTTCAGACCAGATGTGTTATTTTTAGCTAAAAGAAACTCTCCAAGCTCCAGTTTCCAAGATCTGCGTGCGCTGTGTTGCAATGGGATAGAGAGTTTTTATAATCAGGAAGTAATATGTACACAGCCTTGTATCTTTCGCTTTTCTCTGTCCATGGGCTCTTGGAAAGACAATTTTCCTTCTATAAAACAGTTCATATGAACTTTATATTTAATACAGAGCCACGGTGGTTATCAATGGTCATATTATTCAGAACAGAATTGGGTTATGTCCCCTTTAAAACAATAGCAGCTGGGATAAATCTATCCTTTTGCCTTTATTCTTTGTCTGATATAAAGCCTAAAGTTGTTATTTGTCAGAAGGCGACAGAACAGATCTTTATCCTTTTTTGTTTACCTCTTTGGACATTTATACCGCTTGGCCTAAAACCATGTTACATATTTGTCAATAAGTCACATTTAGACTTCCATCTCTGTATTGACGTGGATCTTCCTCTGTTTTTAGCCCAGTCCCCCCGCTCAGCCTGAAATAGTATTCGCTGCGTATTCAAGGGACCCCAGCGTACGCATTAGGACGGAGCGTCGGGGCCTGGCTGCTTTTAAGGCGTATCAGAGCGGCCCCTGTGATTTGTGTGTCTGTAGATAATGTATGATAATGGATTCCACCTTAATCCAAATGTGACGCCGTGTGGGTCCCAGCCAAGATTTAGACTCTTTTAAGATGCTACTGTACCACGTCCCCATCTGCGCCACCGTTTTCATGTTCAATCAGCTTAAAAGCATGTTTTATAGCCTTAGGCATATTTATAATCAGGATAAACATAGTGCACAATCTCATTTTGTACGTTATTACCGCGTAACAACAGTGTTCCCTCATACAAAACATGCCTGAAGTAATTTTTAGCTCCATCCAATGTGTTCTGTGATGTTTGAAGCCCAGTTTTGTATCTCCATTATGCACTTAGTGATACATCGAGTTAATACAACATTACAGAATTTCTCCTCATCAAAAACAGACCAGGATTTGTTTCTAAATCAATCCACGCTAATATCAGAATACGCAGACATGTAACTCTGCCCCTTCTGTCTAAAAGCTCCTGTCTCATTCCTGTAATAGTATGATTAGGCAACTATGACATCACACTCATAAATATAACAAAAAAGCATTGTTTTCAAATAGCGCTTTTCAGGACACTCAAAGACCCTTCACATGTCATTATTCCTTCACTATAGACACAGTGGTGATAAATTACTACTGTAGCCACAGCTGCCCTAGGGCACACTGACAGAAGTGAGGCAACCAGTATGTGCCATCGGTCCCTCCAGCCACCACCAACCATTCACACACACACCAGACTCATTCTAGGCAATGTGGGTGTATCTTGCCAAAGGACACAATGACAGTTTGGCACTTTACAGCCGCAGCCACCCCACTGTGGCACCTGGTGTTTCCAGAGGTCTCCCATCACAGTATTAACCAGGTCCTGCTTCAGAGGTCTAATCTGGCTTCCATATGCAAGTATGACCACAAACACCTAAAACAAAAGTATTGCTCAGGGGAGATGGAAAAATAAATTAACTTGGTAGCAGGTGTTCATACTTTGTTATTCTAAAACATGAAATAACAAAGTAAATCGTCTCTTTGTTCATTTTGTCCAACAATAATGCTCGAAAGCTGTAGCCCTTGTCCTGGTCACGTCTACAGCTGATCTGTCCGTGGGAGTGGATCTCTCCTTTACTTTGTCGTCTCAGTGGTTTCTATTTTTACTTTCGACCTGGCTCAGGGGAGAGGTTATGCGATGAGCAGAGTTTTTAGTTAGACGCCTCGGTGACAGCACAATGAGCAAGTTACAAATGTTCGATCCGGTTCACCCTCTGAATGCAGGAATATTTCTCTGCTTTTCCCCTCTGCCTTGCTCTGAAAGCAGCCCGAGCCACACACCCGACAGAAGCCTTTTCCAAGCACACCACACAGAATAAACCGGCTCGTCTATGTGCTGTTCATACTTGCAGTATACGTTTATGTAACTTCAGTACATAATGTTTTGTTGCAGAAGAATTATCTCCTGAGCAGTAGGGGTATATCATAGACTCTAAATATTAACGGACGTAGTCACGCCTATCTTCGCCGTTGAAACTATTTTGCCACCACTATCGCCGTCTGTGGGCAGTTTCAAAATGGCTGCAGGTGAGGAAATTGTTGGAAAAACGCATTTGCGCATGCGTCAGCCGGTACAAGCCCCATTAATTTGACGAGGGCCTTCAAAAGTCCATGGCGGCTAAACTAGAGTGGTCCCCAAATAAACCTTCCCTCAGCATTGACACACATCTGGATCGTAGCGTTGAGCCAAGAGCCGACTTTTGGACCATCCTGTAAAGCCGTTTTTGAGAGGAAAGAAGACGCCATACACAAGCATTGGATAATTCTCTTTCTGGGCCAACCCCCACCGGCTAGGAGCGGTATTGCAAGCATGTCAGCGCACGTGCTCATGGACCTTTTTGAGCCGGGACTCGCCCCCACTGGGGTATAAATACTGGTATTTTCACCACATGTTTTGAACCTCATGTTTGCCTTATGTAAAACCATGTTGCATTGGTCCCAGAGCTTGACCTGGAGTATCTGCAGCTTAAGGAATGGAATTGTGCCTCCTGGTGGAGGTTTGCTCTTTATTGCCTGGCCTGCCAAACGATATGCTTTTTCAAAGACATATAGTCTGGGAACGAGCTTGATCTCAGCGAATTCCCGGTGGGCGTGGTTGACAGACTGCATCAACCAATTAGATGCACACAGGATATGACGCAGCAACTAGCGGCACCCAAGCCGTTTCAGTAAACACAAAACAAGGGATGGCGGCATGTCAGCTAGTGCAAATGTAAACGACTGCTGTCGATTTTGTAACTAAAACTTAAAGATACGAGGAGTTATTAGCAACTCAAAGGTGAAAGGAAGTCCCGCCTCTCGGTGCGTGATTGGACCGATGTGGGTAAAATCGTGAAATGATAGGCTAGGAAGAGGTGTCCAGACGGTTCTTCTTTTGAACAGAAAGGAGGAGTGTCTGGCAGGCCAGGCAATGCTCTTTATGGGTGCTTTTCTAGTTCATACAGGTTTTGTTGTTCCTGCTGCTGAAGAGAAATTTGTTCATTAGCCTAATACCTGTCAATATTGTTAATCTGATGCTTAACAATTTTGTAAAGTCATTAGAACATTACAAAGTGGCTTCTCTGATTTGGCTTTCTCCTAGATATGTTCTCTTTTGCAAAGTTAAAAGAAATAAAACGACATTTTAATATTTCTTCTAATCATCCATGCTAAACCCCAGTGTCTGTTTTGCAGATTGAAAGCGTCTCTGTCCAAACAAACGGAGAATAGACCAATATTTGCCTTTATTTAACACAGCCAGCGCCGCAGGGCTGTGTTTTGGTATTCAACTCTCACACTTTCTGTCTGATGAAATATGGCTGCGATTCCTTCCTCATCGCTCATTTTTGTCTCCTTATATCCTTGGCTGAATGTCTGAATGTCTTCCCCTAAACTCTAACCCCTATTTAGCAGCATCTATAACATATTCTAACAATAGTAAACTTGGGAAAAGATAGATTTCTGTGTTAAATATGAATCCAAATCTCTATGATATATTTAACACGACTGAATGAAAGCAGATAGACAGATAAATTCCATCCCGCAAACCAGTTTTCTTCTATCACAAGTTTTCACAGGCATGCCACCGATATATCTTTAGTGCAGCTTTATCAAATTGGAAAGTGAAAAAGAGAAGACCACCCTCACTCAAGCCAATCAGCTCTCAGCCCAAAGTGTCAAATTCTGACTCACAGGGCTCTTGCAAGTATGCGTTTGATCAAATGTTTTCTAATCAGAAGTCTGATTTATTTACAAAATGTTTCAAGACTCTTTCTGTTGGGACATACAACATGTTGAATACTGTAAAGTTAGTTAGCAGTTGATTAAATTATCCTTCCCTCTCTCTTCTAGATGAACCAGGCCAGTTGAAGATCTACCTGCCCAAGAAGCTGCTGGAATGTCTGCCCAAATGTTCATCTCTGCCCAAAGAGCGCCATCGCTGGAACACCAACGAGGTAAGAGCATGTTTCAGGCCTTTGTTTATACTGAGACGCTGCGCAGACGTTTCCAGGCTATTAACAGAAACGACCTGGCTCCTAATGCAAATTTCTCAGCGTTCACATGAGGTTGAAAAACGATGTAGTTCTAGCGCCCGGCCAGTAGTGGGCAGATAAACTTTACAACACGACACACGACCCCGAGCCCCGTGCCCAGCCCCCCTCTCGGCAGTATACTCACTTCCTGTGCCAGACCCTCAGAGAGTACCAACATCATTCTGCATTTTAACAGCAGCTGTGAAAATGGGAACTGAACCTAGAGCTTCGCGTGGTCTCGTTTGGACGAACGAAGGAGTAGAGTTATCCTCTGTCCCGCGCTGGAAGCCCACGTAGCTAGTTTGTGTGGGCGGCGCCATTATTGTTGATGTTTGTTCTCCGCTACTGCGCATGTCCAAATTTACGTGCGGGGAGCAGCGCGGAGGCGGGGGTCAGAGCAGAGGGGGATTTCACACCTATTCCCCTCTCGCGGGTGTGAAAAAGCTCCCTGCTGTGCAGCGTATCTGAGTTGTCCCACTCTGCAGGCTGGATCTGAACACTTACGTTTTCACCCCCCTGGAACACTGTCTTCGTATGAACGGTTGGTAGCAACCGACATCCAACTATACCGTTTTACTGCCACATTGTCTCCGTGTAAACTCAGCCTCAGTGTTTGTTATGGGACAGTGTGAAAGGCCTCCTGTATGATAAAAAACACCATGGTGTGACAGAAAATCGCATAGTACCACTTTTAAGCGTGAAAAATAAAAGGGTGCCACAAGGATCCATTCTGGGTCCCCTGATTTTAACTATATTTATCAACACTATCGGTTCCAATTTAAAAGAAATGAATCTATATGCAGATGGTGCTGTATGCAAGTGTGCTCCCGACTGATCAGCCGTACTCAAAGTGCAAAAAAACTTCAAAATCTGTTTCGAAATAAAACATATTTTCTAATGTACATAAAACAAAATACAGTAGTTTTAAATCATTGTACTAAAAATGGAATTTGATTTAAAATGTCTCACATACTTTCTCTCAAGTATACTTTTATGTGTTATTATTGTGTTTCCTCCTGTGGACTCCCTGCTGGAGGATCAGTGAGGGGCTGGTGCTCTGAGAATAATGTGGCAGCTATGATCCTCTGACCCAGAAATGGACAAAGGGGATAAAGATAAACATGTTTATTTTTTTTATTTTTTTTTCATTATTTTATTGTGTAATTTGATCTGTTTACATAATTTTAACGTTGCATATATGTATACAAAATATTTGTATTTTAAAGTTGAATATGAATACACATATTTCAAAGAGAAATTTGAAATTTGAAATGTATATAATTTGAAAAGGAGAATGACAAAGTACCGTGTTTAAAACCAACCCCCTTTTTAAAATACAATTGTAAAATACAATAAAATATCTGTCATAGACCTACCACATTTTAATCACATTTTAGTCATAATCCTGATAAAATTATCCCACATTTAAAATAGTTCAACTATTCTTTCAGTTTAGTCTTGGAAAGGGTTTTAATTTTATTTTGTAAAGTATATGTTACCTTCACTCACACAGATAGTAAACATGTCCCTTCATTCTGGAATTTTCCCAAAAGGCCCTGAAAACGGCAGTCATCAGGCCCCTGCTAAAAAAGAGCAGTCTGGATGCCACTGTACTTAACAACTATCGTCCCATCTCAAATCTGCCATTTATGGGGAAAGTCCTTGAAAAAGTTGTCTACCTACAGCTTACTAGATTTCTTATAATCAACAACTCATTTGATATGTTTCAGTCCGGCTTTAGACCCCACCACAGCACTGAGACTGCTCTCGTCAAGGTTACAAACGATATCCGGCTGAACGCAGGCCAAGTCTCAATCTTAATCTTGTTAGATCTAAGTGCTGCCTTTGACACTGTCGACCATGAGATCCTCTTACAGAGACTAGAGGACTGGGTTGGAGTCGCTGGCACCGCCCTAAGTTGGTTTAGGTCTTACCTTGAAGACTGGAAGTACTTTGTGGAGATTGGAACTGTGTCTCAGATCATATGGCCCTGACCTGTGGAGTACCACAGGGGTCAATCCTGGGACCTCTTCTATTCAATCTCTACATGCTGCCGTTAGGTCAGTTAATACGCAGAAACAAAGTGTCCTATCACAACTATGCCGACGACACTCAGATCTATGTCTCACTGAATGCAGGAGAACATGGACCAGTGGACTCACTCAGGGCTGGACTGGGACAAAAAAACGGCCCGGGCATTTTTTCCTTTTTAGCGGCCCAGGCAACTCAAAAGGTTCAAGGAGCCATATTTGACAACAACAACAAAAACAGCGTTGTATAAGGCTTATATGAAGGTAACAGGGGCTGAAGCTGTATTAGCTACATTAGCTACCTTAGCTACATTAGCTATATTAGCTATATTAGCTATATTAGCCTAATATCTAAATGACAAAGGCATTTAGATATTAGGCTAAACACATAAAAACCATTCATGATTATCAAATGTGTATTTTCATTGCAGCGTGTCCTGGAGAGAATGACACACCACGTGACGACTCTGCTTTAACTTTAACTTCCATTTTTTTGCCTTCTTGCAATTGTACAAATACAGTAAATAAATCTGCTTTTTGGCTCCGAGTTCACCTGCATCACTGTCTGTTCATATCCATCACATCACAGGCGGAAGTTTACTGGAGCTAAATGTCCTTAATGGCCTTTTCTTTCACCGTCTTATTACTTATACAAGTTTTTGCAGCATTGAAAAACGTTAAGAATGTTTTTCCTCCTACAGAAACCACATTGAAACTAGAAATAAAATATAGCCCTCACACTCCATTTTCAGATATTTTTGAAAAAGCTCCAGGAGCCACTTTAGGGGCACTAAGGCTGAGTTTACACGGAGACAATGTGGCAGTAAAACGGTATAGTTGGATGTCGGTTTCTACCAACCGTTCATACGAAGACTGTGTTCCAGGGGGGTGAAAACGTAAGTGTTCAGATCCAGCCTGCAGAGTGGGACAACTCAGATACACTGCACAGCGGGGGCTCTCTTTCACACCCGCGAGAGGGGAAAGGTGTGAAATCCCCCTCTGCTCTGACCCCCACCTCCGCGTTGCTCCCCGCACGTAAATTTGGACATGCGCAGTAGCGGAGAACAAACATCAACAAAGATGGCGCCGCGCGCACTAACTAGCTTCGTGGGCTTCGAGCGCAGCACAGAGGATAATTCTACTCCTTCGTTCTTCCAAACGAGACCACGCGAAGCTCTAGGTTCAGTTCCCATTGTCACAGCTGCTGTTAAAATGCAGAATGATGTTGGTACTCTCTGAGGGTCTGGCACAGGAAGTGAGTATACTGCCGAGAGGGGGGCTGGGCACGGGGCTGGGGGTCGTGTGAGTGTTGTAAAGTTTCTCTGCCCACTACTGGCCGGGCGCTAGAACTACATCGTTTTTCAACCTCATGTGAACGCTGAGAAATTTGCATTAGGAGCCAGGTCGTTTCTGTTAATAGCCTGGAAACGTCTGCGCAGCGTCTCAGTATAAACAGGGCCTAAAGGTTGCCGACCCCTGGTTTATACACTATGTGGAAGCAAATACTGTAGAGGATCAGGATGTCTGCAGTTTCAACAATAAAATAAAGTACAATAGTCTACATTAAACAGAGTAATAAACATGTCTCAGAGTGAGGGAGGCGGGCACAGACAACACTGTTGTTTGTTACAGGGATGAGAATTGGTAAAAATTTCTGAAATGCATATTGTCAGCCATTAGCTGGCTCTAAATCTGTTTAATCTGTTCACAACATTTTACTTTTGGGCTCAAACATGAACTTTTAATGCAATGGAAAATGTAGGTACCCGAGCTTTAATTTAGAGGAGAGGGGAGACGCGGACTGTTTTCTGCAGCGGTGTATTTATTGGGTGCACAAATTACGAAAAGACATGCATGGTCCTGTGCGCGTTTATGGTCTTGGGTACATAGTCACGTTGCGGCTACGCGCGCGCTCCCCGTGTTGTGTTGTGAGCGGTTCCCGCCTCCAGCTCAGAGTTGCTGGATGCGGGAACACTGCGGCCGCTGAGGTGGTGGAATCCCGTTCGAGTACATACAGCAGGTGCCCCACGGACACGCGCACTCCCCTCAAACATTTCTCAACGGATTTACACTTTTCACAAACATGTTTTTTGTATGAGGCAGACAGACCGGCCCAAATATGGGCATCGGCCCTTCGGGCATTGCCCGGTACGCCCGATGGCCAGTCCAGCCCTGGACTCACTCCTTCACTGTATCCAACAGATCAGTGAGTGGATGCAAAACAACTTCCTTCAGCTAAACGTGGACAAAACTGAAATGATTGTCTTTGGTCCCCAGAAACAAAGAGAGAGCGTCATCTGTCATCTACAGTCTCTCTCCCTAAAACCTTCAAACAAGGTCAGAAATCTAGGGGCAATACTGGACTCAGACTTAAATTTTAATAGCCACATCAAATCAGTAACATCAGCAGCTTTTTACCATCTAAAAAACATTGCCTGGATCAAAAACATAGTGTCTAAAGCAGACCTGGAGATTCTTATCCATGCTTTTGTCTCCAGTTGGTTAGACTACTGCATTGGCCTGCTCACAGGTCTGTCCAAACAGGCTGTAAAACAGCTGCAGTACATTCAAAATGCAGCAGCTCGAGTCCTGACTAGAACCAGGAAGTACGACCACATTAGTCCAGTCCTGAGGTCTCTGCACTGGCTTCCTGTGGCTCAGAGAATAGACTTTAAAACAGCTCTGCTTGTGTACAAATCTCTCCATGGCCTCGCACCAAAATATATTAGTGACATGTTAGTCCCATATGAACCAGCCCGGACTCTGAGGAGCTCAGGGACTGGACTCCTGTTAGTGCCCAGAGTCAGAACTAAACATGGGGAGGCTGCTTTTCAGATTCATGGTGCTAAAATCTGGAACAATCTTCCTGAAGATGTGAGACAGGCCTCCTCA